GGGAAAGATTGAAGGTCAAAGAAGACGGGGACGGCAAAGGATGAGATGGTTAGACAGTGTCATCGATGCAACGAACATGAAACTGAGCAAACTTCAGAGGACAGCAGAAGACAGGAGGGCCTGGCGGGATCTAGTCCATGGGGTCGCGAAGAGTCGGACTCGACTGTGCGACTGAACAACAACAACAAATTGAGCCTATACTTCTTTTTTGGTGTGTGTGCGTGTATGTGTCTGCACCTGGAAATCAGGTTGACCTCTGGTGACTGACCCATACTGGGGGCCTGGAGGATATTCAGAGAGGTGGGTGAAAGCCTGCCTCTATCCTCCCGACTTGGTATTCCAAGGAAGTCTCCCATCCAAGTACTAACCACAGTTGACCCTGCTTAGCTTCTGAGATCTGATGAGATCGGGCTTGCCTGGCCTATCCAGGTCAGGACTAAGTGAACCTATGCTTAACACATACCCTCCTTCTTTTAGTGGTCTGAGGGTGCTCCATCACTCACCTGACCAGAACTCTGAGGGTGACCTCGAAATACAAAAGGGCAAAGGAAACAACCAAATCAGGAAAGATTCTACTAATAGGCACCTTTAACAACTCTCACTTGAACTGCGAAAACTCGTGCTATGGTTGCAAGGAAATTCCTAGATGAGAAGTGATTGTGTACCTTGAACAGTATGTCATGGACCTGACTGGAGGAAAGGTAACCCTGGACTTGATCCCAAGAAGCACTGAGGCATAATTGTTGTACCATGTTAGCCAACCCATGCCAAGGGTGTATGCGATGCACCTTTTCCATCCCTCCCACATTGTGAGCTGCCTCCATGAGAGACAACTTTTCTATGAACAATGGCCACCAGGCTAGCATTTTATACGGCTGCTTAATATTAATTATATGGGTCCTCCCGTCAAGGTCTGTGATTTTATTTTTCTTGGCCTTAAAACCTACTTATTAAGAAGTCCCCAAAGGGGAAAATAAACTAGTCAGAAAACTACCAATAGTTCACAACCCTTATGTGTTTCCATGTGACCAATCATTAACCAGCTGGAAATACATCAACAGGAACCAGAAATAGCAGTTAACTGAAAAGAAACAGGTGGCTTTTAGTTATCGAGCTCCCGTAGCAACAGCTCACATCTTGAGACCCTAGAAATATCAGAACCAGAGACTAATTTGGAGAGGAAAAATCTTAACTGTGGGATACAGATGAATTGTAAAGATCCTAACACACACGTGGGACTGTTTGCAGGCCACAGTTTTGCTATGTGCATCTAGTTCCACTGACCTAGAAGTCACTTCTTCAGTTCAGGTACTCACAATTCAAACAGATTTCCCATGTCCCTGCTACAAAAGCAGAAAAGATCTAAAGCATAAGGGAGTGTTCTAGACAGGTATCTGAGGAAGTGTGCTTGCACATGAAAGTTTATACCCTGAATAAAGGTGCCTTAAAGGTGCCAATGTTCTAGCCATGGTTTGTAAGGCAGGAAGTTGTGATCCAAAGAAGAGGAGGAAGGGGGTGCAGTAAGTGGCTTGCAAGCCTGTCAAACTTTTTCTTCGAATGGCAAGAATGAAAGAACACACTGTGCAAAGTACAGGTGCACAGCATGCCACTGGACCGCCAAGGAGTATTGTTCAAACACTGCTTTCAGAATGGGATGTGCTCTTCAGACACTAATGACCTCAGCAGGACACAATGACGGCAATTTCTTCAAGGTTTCTACCTCACCATTTTCCTACCGGTAGAAAGTTAATATTTGCAAGGGTTTATGCGTTGATGTGACATTTAAATCCACAAACCAGCCGAGAAGAGCCAGATTGCAGAGATAGGAAGAAGAGTTCTGGAGAAGGCAGCCTCTAAAGCAACACATGTTCTGAAGTACCATGTCCCACAACTCACGGAAACCACAAAGAGACCAGAAACCACCTATTTCAGTTCTGTGCAGCAAGTAAGGAGTCCAAAAGAAAGAACACTGAAGCACCAATGTGGGAGACAGTGTTTCCAAACAGTGCCTTGTTGCCCCCAGAACTTTTGAACAAGGCCAGGCATAGCATCTAGGTCCAGACATGGTGACTGGAAGATGGCCTGCATAACCCTTTTCAAACAGTCTGCACGCTAGTCCACTAGACGGTTCTCAAGCAACTAGGATCTCTGCCAGGTTCTTCCAGATATGACTTTGTCAGGTACAGCTCAGTTTAATACCGTTTTTAATTCAGCCCTGGAAGCTGTGGGCTTAGTGTACCACAGACCAAGGCTATTTTTGGGCAGGAGCGCACAGGAACGGAGTTCCGGCTGGCTCCCAAGTTGGCCACGCCCAGCATAATAGGCCACACCCAATAGCCTATTAGCATAATAGGCCACACCCAATAGCAGAAACGCATTAGGATTGGCTACATTAGGGGTGTGTGGCCTAACATGCAAAGGAGTTCCTACTACAAAAAAAGCCCTGGGTTTTGACAACAAACAAGGTAAACAGAATAACAAGCAAAAGGTGGGTGTGGCTGGATAACCACACTTCTGGTAACATGTGGGTGTGGCCTAATGTGCTAATGAGCTGTGCTGTCAGTGGTGTGGCCCAATATGCTAATGAGTTCCTGCTGTTGGGTGTGGCCTATTATACTAATGAGTTCCTGCTGGGCTTTTTCTACAAAAAGAGCCCTGCCACAGACTATGCACAAATAACCACAGTATCTCTCACGTATCTGAGGGCAGGCAGATAAGAGCTTTCTAAAGTCACCTTAGGAACATGAGGACTGGAACATGGTGAGTCTGCAGTGCTAGTAACACTGGAAGCTCCAGTCAACCCAAAAGACAACACAGCTTCTTTCAACTAACACTGGAAGGAGTCACATTGACAACTCTTCTCATGTGAACTGGAACTTCCCGCCTGACCAGAGTAGCAACAGTAGGGTGGATCCTGCAGGGGATCCCATCCCATATATTCATGCCAGATGGGAGCCTAAATTTTCCATTCTTAACTTAAAAAAAAAAACCCTTGCTAATGCAGTGATATTCAGATTACCTTCAAGGAATCCTGGTAATGCACGCTGACTGTGGCAGGCACATGGCTATGGAAAGGGGTTCTGCAGGTTAGGAAACCTGAAATCCACTGGCTTATAGCAACAGAAGAACAAAGGCACTAGATAATTCAATACTTTGGAACTCAGTAGCTTGAGTGTAAGGAAACAGGAACAGACTTATTATTATTTATTTATTAATTCCATCTTGTATTCCGCCCTCCCCGCAAGCGGGCTCAGAGCAGATCACAACAGCAAATCCACAATAGGAGTTAAAACATTTCACAATAAATAGTTAAAAGTTTTTTTAAAAAACACCTATGTTAAGGACAGACAGAACTGCAATTCAGTACAACAGAATCGAAAACTGGAGCCACTAGGCCGTAAACCAGACTGTGGGTCTTCACCTGATGGGCGTTACAAAGACGGAAGCTTCAGGAAGGGAGGCCAGCAGATGGAATAACTGGACGGCTGCCACTTCACCCAAAGACCTGGCAGAACAGCTCCGTATTACAGGCCCTGTGATAGGTCCGACAGGACCCTGATCTCCAGCGGGAGCATGTCTGTGCCAAGGCAGAAAAGGCCAAGGCCAAGTGGACGTCCTTTGGGCTGGGGACAACCAGCAAATGTTGGTCCGCTAAGCCAAAGCTCTCCGGGGTACATAGGGGGAAAGACAGTCCCTCAGAAAATAGCTCCACTTCCCTGTTCGAGTGCAACAGCCGGCCTCAGTACTCATGCTGTGGAGGACTGCACCCACGGGAGTTATCTGCTGAAGCCCAGATTTACACTTGAAGGCCTTGTGAAGTAATGCACACTAAGATGCCACTGTGCTTTGGTCTTATTAAGCATTTGAAGGACAGGAAAAGTTAGGGAGCAAACTGGGATCAACTGGGATGCATCACAGGTGTGGATTAGGCCGCATCTTTCTTTGTTTACATGTCCAGCTCTGGACTAATACAATGTTCATCATTCTCTTATATAACTGGAGCAATGGCACAAAAAGCTGCCCAAGTCTTAAACTATGTCGTCTCTGTGTCCCATAGCTGATTTTTTTTAAAGCATGAAGTAGGCAGCAGCGAACTAAGGTTTGGCTGACAAAACCAGAGACACAAGCATAGCCGGTTACAGTACTGCAAATTGCTAATGAGAATTATTATGATGGCCATTAATCATTTCCATGCCTTCAAGCTTCCTGGGGCAGAAAGACGCTCAAGGATACAAGCAAGTGTAGCTCTGGGAGCACAGCAAGAGATCAGGAAAAGAGAAAAAGATCATTCCATAACTGCCAACACACCCACACCCGTGTACCTTTCATAATATAAATAAGTATCCATCACTGACACTAACTGGCTAGCTCATGCCTTATGTTCATGACCCCACAGCCAAGCTAAACCAGGGACTGGCACTGATCCCTAGACAGCTTCACCACACACTGGCAACACAACCCAGCCTCAAGATGATATAGTAAACCTGCCGGCTGACACATCTCTGCACATGCTCCCTCTCCATAGACACCCTGAACAAACTTTTGCTTAACAACCAGCCCAGGAGATCCCATTCCGCGCCCTCTAGTTTCTATCTTCACAGGGAACTACCAGAGCACATGAGACTTCGACAGAGCAAAAGGAAGCAGAGGGGCTTGGCTTGCCCCAAGCAACGACATTTTCTCAATCAGGAGACAAAGGGGGGGAAAGCACTAGCCCGTAATAACAATCGCTCCTCTGAAGGAGGGTGAAACAAATTGTGCAACAGACACGCTCCTTGTCGTGCAACAGTAGCCTCATCCTGGCGAGCAGGCGCCCCTTCAACCATCCCTCCTAGTTGGCATGAGCTTAAGGTCCAGCGCAGAGGAGACCCACCCCGGGGGGGAGACAGGGGGTGTTAACGAGAAAGCCCGCAAGCACCTCGGAGACCAACCAGCCCCAGCTCGCCTCCGCGGCCCTCCCGCCCCCAGACGGCCCCGGAGCCGCGGCGGAGGGAGGCTACCTTGTCGGCGATGCTGCGAGGCAGCTGGAAATCCGGGCTGGGCGTGAGCTCGGCGCCCGCCTCCTCGCTGCTGGAGGCGG